AGACTGCGCCGCGAACTGATATATGTCCACGTCGGATGGCTTCCGCGCCGCAGATATGTGAGAGGTTTGCGGGTCCACCTTAGAGATGCCCTTACTTTAGTTGACACGTGATGAGATCTATGAGACATGCAAATATATAGATCTATGGTGGACCCTGCAACATGAATCTCAGGAAAACTGATTGGTGTGAGAATGAGATTATGTAACGTTACCGCGCAAACTCAGAATCCATCGATCCATCCAGTTCTCTTGCATTGTTCCTGAATCAAACGATCCCAAAAAATCGTGGCTGCCAAAAGTGCTTTTGGATGCGTGCGTTTGATCCGACGGCCAAAACAGCGTTCGATTGGAAGTCCTAAAAAATCTGAGCCGAAAATAAATAAATCCATACACGTTGTGGATGCTAACCTGAGTTTGAGTTTTTTTCTTTTAAGAATCATAACCTGAGTTTGAGTTGGTATACAATGTACCACGTGTTCCTGTCCGTGTAAGACTTTGCCTTACCAATAGTATTTGATGACACTTCCCTGAAAAAAAAGGTATTTGATGACACGTCAAGTTCGAGTCGGTTCTCTGGTCATTGGATCTGTGCTATATATATACACCCATATAGACGTGATACTGTAAGACCCAGAGATTGATCAAGCACACCTGAAAAACAAAGAGGCAAAAAAAGGCACGATACGAATCGTTTCCTCGATGGATCGATCCGATGAGATCATGTCGATGTCGGCGCTCGTGTCATCCCTCCGTGCTGCCGGCCGACACCACCTCTCCGCCGGCACCTTCGTCGTGAGGCCGGTGACGGGCTCCTACCTGTATAGGATCGAGCAGTTCAAGCAAATCCAAAAGATGTTTGGAAACGGCGCGAAGATCGAATCAGAAAATGTTTCGAGTTGGTGGACACGACTGGCGTATCAGGTGCTACCCGAACGGCGAAGAGGGATACGAGGGCTTCATCGGCCTATACCTCGAGCACGCCAGCCTTGACCGCACCGGTGACGCCACACCGGATTTCCGCATGAGCATCCTTGACCACACCGGGAAGCTATTGTGGACCGAAGGTCATGCCCAATTGTCGGAAGAAATCGATGATGAGAGCAAAGGTGATGCTCAAACTTTCTCGATCGGCAAAGGTATCATGTGGGGCTGGAGTGATTTCATGAAGGTTGAAGACCTGGACGACAAGAAGCACCTCAAGGACGGATCTCTGATAATCGTCTGTGACGTCACCGTCCTTGACATGCGCACCATCGAGTACCGTGACGGGATGGCATCCACGGCTACAACTGTGCCACCATCGGAGCTGCACCGAGAACCAACGGAGGTCCGCTCAGAGTCCAAAGAGGGGGCTAACCCTGACATGGAGATACAGGTCGGCGGGGTGACCTTCCCGGCGAACAGGTCGATGCTCGCTGCCCGGTCTCCTGTCTTCAAGGAGGAATTGATGCCAACAAATATACGTGTCGATGGAATTGATGCCGACGTATTCAAGGCCCTGCTCTACTTCATCTACACCGACAAGTTGCCGCAAGAGATAGAGGAGGAAGGGACGTTGGCCAAGATGGCGAAGCCGCTGCTCGTGGCAGCAGACAGGTACAAGCTGGAGAAGTTGAAGCTGGTCTGCGAGGAGGCGTTGTGCGGGCAAATCGATATGGAATCCGTGGCCAACACACTAGCGTTCGCGGAGCAGCATTGTTGCAGCATGCTGAAGGACGCTTGCACGCAGTTTCTCGCTGACTTCTCGTTCTAATCCAATCTAGGAGAGACCAACCAGTTTGATGGTGCAACTTGTCATGAAGCAGTAGATCTCCTCCCCTTACTCTTATAGACTATAGTCTCAGTTTAAGTCGCAATGCTTTTGAACATATGTTTTGCCTGAACCTGGTTTGCTTATTTGCTTGTGTGCTTGTTCCACCAACCAGATGACCAGTTGCGCCAATGGCGCAAAGGCCAAAAGCAAGTCATGTATTGAGAGAGTGTACATTAATATTTTTCAGACACATTTTGAAGTGATAAGTATTAGACAAAGTCATCGCTGCATGTTTGACCATGGGGCAAAAAGCGAAAGCGAGCCAAGCATACAAAGCATGTGTATGAGATTGATTTAGAATCAACTTAAAGATACTTATATTCCATTACATGAAAGTTCATGCTTAAAACAAAATATTCAGATCACTTGGTAATAGTATACATTGGTTTTAAAAAACAGGCTATATTAGCATAGATGGATGGTGTATATAGTGCTTGTCCATTAACCATTGATTGAGTCTTGTACCTGCCGTCGGCAGGAAGAAAAGAACCTACGGCCTAGGTGGACGAACAACCTAGCCACACACTGCAGACAGGATCAGAGGCCTATAGAGGAACAAAAAGAATCAAGCAACTGTGTATAAAACAATAATCAGATGGTACACTTTTCTAGCTATGTATAAAATACTTGATGTGTAAAATTTTGCTAACGAACCAAAGAAAATCTGATTCATCTCTTTATTTATTACTGTATAAAACAAAGCAACACAATAATAGGACGATACAAATTCACACACATGCATGATGGAATGCGTCGTTTGTCTCTGCTCTGCCTTCCTCCTCTCAAACCATCCACCGTGACCTGAACTTGAGAGTATAGTCAGCGGTGAAAAAGGTCTAAACTTGAAACAACAAATGTCAGCAAGACCCCAAGGCTTGAAGTTTTGCATGTAATAAAAAACCAATTCCCAACTATTTTTGCCCAATCATCCCAAACAATCACCATGTATTTTAAAGAGAAATTCAGTCCAAGCAGCTTCATCAATCCTTCAGGTGCATAATCAATCACTGTAGTGTTCTAGCCTTAAGAAACTGAAAAAGAAACAATCAAAAACAAAAGTAAAAGTAAAATCATGTGTAGCAGCAGGAAAAGCAAAACTAATCACATTCTGTCATTCTGACCTATCATATTTTAAATCAAACTACACAAGAATAAAATTATCTAACAGAACATGAACACCATGTGTCCTATTCAGAGCGGTACCAAAAAGGAGAGACATCTTCACTGCATATATATGCTAGATAATCAAAAATCTGAAAGCATCTTAGAGGAAGCCCTCACTAAGAACCTTGGCAGACGTTCATGAAGCTGCGCCTACATTAGCTACATGACCGACAATTACTCAAATTTGTCGTAGTACACAAATAACACAGTTGAACAACAGATAAATAGGAAGAGAAATACACGAATTGCAGTCAGATTTACATGCCTGCTGCTCCTCGACACTGCAACCCTTCCTCAAGGGCCGTCATGATTTGGTCTGCTTGTTTTGTTTACTCCGGCTATTCATTGTTGGTGCTGGATTTTTATTGTCTGCATTGCTGCATAAGATGAATATTTGCAACCGTAAATATTTCAAGGGAAAAATTGATTTGTGAGATTATTTTCTATAGGATGTGAGAAGCAATACTTACTCTTGCTTTTGTCTTTTGGGAGGAGTACAGTCCTATTCCTTTTTTTGCGGGAAACGTTCCTATTCCTGGAGCTGCATTCAAAAATATTGTACATACGTACTGCTACTGCATGAGTGGATATAGAAGAATAGATAAAAAATCAACAAAAACAATACAGAGAACTAACAAAAATTGCAGGAAAACTAATTATGCCTGCCTTCTTTTAGATAATATAAGATAGTTTAGGGGCTAAACCAACTAATCAATAAAAAGGAGAGCATGTATATAGTTCATCTAGTTATTATGAAACATGTGCTTTATAAGCATATGAGTGTTGTGATATCTGTCAGATTTTTCAGATTAGAAGGCAGTGTTGCATAGCAATGAAGCAAAATTTTGCAACAAAACATTGTTGAATACGTGTTGCTTTATAAGGGGTATCTTTGTAGTGCCGCTTAAAAACTGCAACATGTATTAAAAACCGCAACAAGGTTCTTTTAAATGCTTAACCAGTTCTACTTGCAGTTCAGCATACAAAAGGAACGAATAGGAAGTGGAGTAAACTAAAACAAATTTTGATAAAAAATGATGCTAGTGGTTGCTTTGGTAGTTCAACTGCTTCACAGAACTGATTAAATCTGAGAAAGTTATTGGTTGCAACGGAAATGTGACATTATCCTACACACCTATATTAAACATCAAGTTAGCATGGCATATATTTACACAGAAACAACACAACATCCTAATTGATAATTTCTTTCTTCCTTATAGTTCTAATTTTGAACATGGCACAATGGTTTATTCCCCATTTTAATTTTATACTCGAATTCAAATTCAATCTGTGACACGCATGTTTATACGCCCAATCTAAAATCTGAGAAGAGCGGAAAAAGTGAGGAAGTTCCCTCAGTTATCCCAAGTTTCTAGCTAAATGGAAGGTACATGAAAAAAATGCATTGCTGGAGTCAGAAGCATGAAATTTAGCACAATCCCAGAATACAAAGTTCATACCATGGTCGTCTTGTTTAGTACTCGCCATTGTAACCCCAGAATGCAAAAATGCATTACTATCTTGCAAGGGCTTGATCGACCATAGTGTTGCCTGCTCATAAACAGCCAAACAGGCTCAACCCCAGAAAAACCTCTGCTCTGACAAATGGTAAAAATCATTTCATAGGTGACTCAAGTTTTACCCCGCCTGCAAGAACTGAACCTCCTCAGCAACATCACAAATGTAGGACAAGGCATGTAAGTGACATTATTTTGAGGATGAAAAAAATGTATATATATATATATATATATATATATATATATATATATATACATCAGTTGAGAACTGATTATATGCCTTTAGATTCAATAACTCAATAATCCTATAAAGATATTAAGCCTAGGAGCCCTTTGTAGCAGAAGAAAGCTTCACATACATGATAGCCTATTTGTAAATCAATATAGCAAATGCAACGAGTAGTACACGTGTGAGGTCAGTGTTGCTTGCTGGCAAGAAAATGGAAGCGGAAACATGTGAATAAACATTAACTGTATACATGTGGCATTACTAATATTTTTTGCCTTGGGCAAACCTGTGATATGGAATTTAATCGTTGGAACCATATATGAACTGAACAATGTGCATTGTCTAAAGCTAGCACAACATCTCTTCCTATGATATGGTTCATATGTATTCAACCAATTCAAGCACTCGAGAAATTAACTAAGCACTGGGCCCTGATCATAGAGATCTTACTTGCGTATGTCATCGATGAGACCAATAACTCCCTCAAACTGAGATCATCATCCAAATGCATCCAGGCATGCTTAATGACCTATACTTGGAGATGCAGTTGCTTCTGATACTCAATGGCCCATCAAGAATTGATGCCTAACCCCGCAGACCAACGCAAACATGAACCCATTAATTTCATCACAAACATAAACGCAGCAGCACCAAATTCAGGGACAAAGAAAGAAGGAAAACTGGAGTGACCTTGTTGGAATTGGGTAGCAGGCTCTGCAACACCTTCAGTCTTCCAGCCGATCGACCCAGGCAACGATCAACCCCGACAAGCAATTAATAATTAGCACCTCAAGCAGGCAATAAGAGAATGGCAAGATGGGTCATCAACTTCTCGGAATGGTTGTGCACCTCAGCGGTGCTGACCCGCTTACTGTCACAACCCCCATATAAATAACTACATTCAGATTTCCACAATGAAGTCTATGCAATTCTTGTTGGGTAGGCGGCGCTAGACTCGAGTTACATGTTCTGATGGCCCTGTAAATAATTAAGCATGGTAGTGAGAATGCAATATATAGAAAACAACACAAAATTAATCTAAAAATACTACAGGGCAACGACATTTTCTCTTCAGTTAGTCAGAGGTTTATGTACCGTGGGAAAAATGTAGCAAGGAAACCAAGCAGATCGTACAATCTTGCATATAAGGGGAGGGAGAGGTAGCAGGAGCAGAGGGAAACAAGGTCTGTAAGAAGCTCACATTGGCGTATTAGTATTAGCTGCACTCGCCACTGCCCGACACACGATGAGAAACATAGAAAACACAACAACCCCGACGAATCAGGCACTGAACTAATGGAAGACCAAATGGGCTAAAACTGCTTGCTGGGTTTAGCAGGAAAAACATGTGTCAAGCATAGCTAACAAGCATGATGTAGTAGCAAAAATAAGCACTATTATTATAATAGTATAGCATGACCAAAAGAAGCATTTCCATGCCTAAAAGAAAAGGCATCAAATAGGTAAAATTAATGGTTCAACAGTGCGGGAAAAAGATAAAACATCTCTCTATAACAATTGGTCACATCAGGCGAGACTATGGAGCATTAATGCATTATGAGTACAGGAACACATCCTACTCATTACATTTGATTTTATTTTCCAGTTGAAGTATGCCCTTTTGTTGAGCCCTACAGAATTCACAAATTAATCTACAACTATGCGAAGAGGTGGCTACCTGGTGGCGTCGACTGGCCGTGATGGTGGTTCTGGTGGGTCCCCGATCTGGCTCGGACGGACGGTTGCTCCACGGGTGGTGAATGGTCAACACGGAGAGCACAACATACCACATACACCACCCAATCAATCTAGAGCCTGAAAGAGCATCTGAGAACGCGAAAGAAAAATTGCAAGTGAGGAGAGGAGACCATCAAATTGCAAGTGAGGAAAGGAGGAACAAAGTTGGTAGATGCTCACCAATGCCGGCGCTCCTCCACAAATTTGCAGCTTTCCTCGAGCTCTCGTCTGTGGGTAAGTCGCTCAACTGCATCGTCATTGCCCGCATCAGTCGAGCCGGCAAAAGCTGAAAA